CCGCGTCTGTTCGAACGCGTCGGCGACGTCGCCGGCGACCGCCGGGCAGCGGCCCGCCTCCACCCCCAGGGCCGACAACGCCGAGTCAGCGGGGGCCGCGTGGAAGGCGCGTTCTCCAAGTAACTCATTGGGGTAAGTGTGTCGGAAATCTATCGAAGAGCACAACTTTTCTTGGCCGCGCAGAAGGCCCCCATGCGCTGAAAGGAAGGGTCGTGGCCCGCGAGCGTCAACGCGTCCGAGCAGCAACGAGAAGTCATAATAAAGGGCGGGCGAGCCGAGCCGGCAAACGTCGGGCCCGAGCGCGGCCCGCGTGGGCGGCCTCTCGAGGAAATGCAGCAGCGCCTTCAGCGTGACGCAGCACGTTCGAGCCAGTCCATTGGCCGCGAGGTGTCCGACGCAGCGAGGAAGTCCTACCAGTGCACGGCGCGCGCCCCAGCCGGCCAAGAAACGGGCCCCCTCGAATAAGGGCGGGAAGGGCCGCCCGACTCGCATAGAGGCGACCCGGCGAGGAGACCCCTGAAAACCCCGTCGCGCAGCTGAGCCTCGCCCGGGGGCTGGCGCAGCCTCCGATGGCAACCGGCCGCGCGCTCCAAGGCTCTCCGCTGGGCTGAAGTAGATGGGCCCGACGGCGAGACGCCAAGGGGGAAGTCAACGCGCCCAGGCAGCGCTGCGCGCTTGCCGCAGACGGGCCGCGACCGGCTGCCACGCGCGCAGCAGGAAGAGCAGGCAGAGGAGAAAGGTCGCGTCGCCCTGCGAGCGGGGGCAAAACTTCGCGGACGGGGCGCCGACGGCGGCGGGGTCCACGGCAGGCGAAGGGTTGCGGCCGCAGGCTGCCCAAGTCCCGCGGCCAACGCGCGGCCATCCATCATCATCGTTATTGCCCTTCCTGCCGCTGCGCTACTTGTCGGGCTGGCTCTCGCTGGTCATCGCGCGGCTCGACCGCGCCTTCCGGTGCCCCTCCGCCGCGGCCCACTCCTGCTTGAGCTCGTCCTTCAGGTGCTCGGACAGCTACGGCGAGACGCACATGTTCCCGCGGGCGAGGTCGTAGCCGAAGTTGCAGCGCTGGTCGAGAAACTCGTCCTTCGCCTCGGGCGCGGGCCGCTCGCGGTAGCGCTGCCCGCGGAGCTGCGCGGTGCGGGACAGCATCTCGCCCGAGGCGAGGATGACCGCGTTCACTTGGTCGTGGATGGCCATGAACACGATCCGTCTGCGCACGCGCGCTCGTGTTCGGCGACGCCAACGACCTCCTCAGCGTGAAGGCGGGCCAGTGTGCGCCAGCGTGCGCGGCGCCCGAGAGGCGCGCCGCCGTTAATCTCCATGAAGCGAAGCACCCATCGGCAAGTCCGCGGCCCCTTCGCGGGCCAGTCTGGCCACGGGTCCTCGACCATGGCCAGCCAGCGGTCGCCCCCGGGAAGGCCCGATGCCGCCGATGCCGCTGGCCCAGCGAGTCGAAGCTCACCGCGAGGACGCGCGCGTTGGCCAAAGGTGCGGGCGCGCCCAGGGCGGCGGGAGCTGCGCCGCCAGGGCCGAGCGCGGCCGCCGCGGCGGCGAGCGGGGGGCCCCCACGGCCAGCACGCCCGGGGCCACTGCGGCCGCCAGCCCGGGTGGCGGAGGGGAGGCGGCGCCCGCTGCCGAGGGGCCGCTGCAGCCGGGGGGCCGCCGCGGCGACCGGCGCCTCTGGGGCAGAGGCGGCCGATGCCACCGCGGGCGCCACCACGGGCTCCGCCGGCAGCCCTGGGGCCGCAGGGGCGGCCGCAGGGGCGCCAGCTCCAGGGGCCGCGTCGGCGGCAGCAGGCGCTCTGCCAACGAGCGAGACCCCATCCTGATGGAAGGAGGTCTTCGGCGAATGCTCCAAACTCGGGCACTGTAGAACATCGGGGATCTACTGACCCAGGTCAATCCAGACCCGGGTCAGTCAGGCTTTGCGGGATCCTGCAAAATCCTGCGGGATCCTGCAGGATCCTGCACCCTAACCTGGGTTAACGCACCCATGGCTCTAATTACAAGATCCTGCCAGATCCGGCGCTCTGACTGACCCCCGTTCGCATTGACCCCCGTCGCTTGAGCCCCGAAGTGGGAAGCGCACTCGCACTCCGGGCAGCCGGGGCAGTCCAGCGAAGGGCAGGCCGAGCAGGTGAGCGTCGGCTCGCACGGCGGGGGCAGCTGAGGGGCCCTGGGCGATCTCCGCGCCCGCGCGGGCCAAGAACTTGCGCATCCAAGGCGGAAGCGATCCTGGGGGCACACAGCTTGAGCGGCAACTGTTGCGGAGGCACCCGGGCGGCCGCTCCTGCTGAAATCTCCCTGCCACACGATCTGAGATCTCCCATTGCAAGGACAAGGGAACCCAGGGAACAAGACGGGAGAGCCCGAAGAACAAGACTAGAGGACCCGAGAGAGAAGGGCAAGGAACAAGACCGGGAACCGAGGAGAGGCTGGGAAACCCCAAAAACAAGACTGGGGAACCCGAGCAAGGCAGCAGGGAGCCAAGACAGGGGAAACGCCAGCAGGCCAGGGACCAAGGCCAGGGAGCCCAAGCAGAGCAGCAGGGAGCCAAGGCCAGGGAGCCGAGCAAGGTCAAGGGCAGTCTCCCTGTGAGGCCTGCGCACCCACCAGGCCTTCACAGAGAACCGCCTGGGCAAAGCCTAGTTGGGAAAACGTGTGAGACCTTGATACTCGTTGGCCTGCCAAGCCTGACCAGTCTTGACGCTGGGGTATTGCATCTCGAGGCATACGGGGTGACCAACGTGGTGTGGCCTTCGAACTGTGGAAGGCGGGCCATCTGAGGCTGCGAGCGACGCCTGCACAAAGTTGTCCCTCATTGAAATATGCGACAGGTGTTTCTGCAGCATCCCTTGCAAACAGAAAGTCGGCTGCACGTATTCTGGCCTCAAGAATCAAACTCGAACTCTGGTGTTACTTGCAAGCTCGTAGAGCTTGGCGTCCCGGTCGAATCCGTACGACGTGCGATGCGGTGCTTACCAATATTGACCCTTTAACCCGCAACTCACTAATTATGATTGGGCCAGAATACGTTCGCTGGGCGTCAATGGCGATGACCTGGACACGCCTCTAGACAACTCAAACCTTGACAAGTTGTTGGTAAACCTGGGCTTTGATTGCAAATGCGAGCTTCTTCCCACATGGAACCTAATCGTGTTGGCATCGATTGGTTGACCATGCTGGTTCAAATATTGACGTTGACGACATGAATGCCGATTCGCATGCAACTTGGCGCAGCGAAACTTTCTCTCGACAAACGGAGGTAAGGTGATAACTTCGCCGCAACGACGGCTCCAGAAAGCCCCCACGACGCCCCATGAGGACTCCAATGGGGCGCCGAAGGTAAGTCCAAGAGGCAAACATCGTCCCAATTCCCTGGGCAAGCTTATTCACGTTTTTCTTTCATGCACGTCCAAGCCAGCCTGGGCCCGCCCGAACCGCCCCCAAAAGGCCCTGGAAGCCCTCCAGGGCGGCCCAAGACGTTCCAAGAGAGCCCCAAGACGGCCGCAAGAAGCGCCCAAGAAGACCTAAGAGAGAGCACCAAGAGAACCCGAAAAAGGGCAACTGGCAATTCGAGGGCTGCTAGCAGGCCTCGAAGATGCTCCCAAGAAGCCCAAAGAGGCCGCCAAGAGGCAAAAAGAGGCCTCACTTGCCGACCCCCGCTTGCCGGGGGTGAAGAGGCGTTTGAAATGCTTGGCTGTCCCCCTTCGGGGATCCACTGATCCAGGTTACTGCAAACCCGGGCCAATCAAACTTTGCAAAATCCTGTAAGCTCCAGCAGGATCCGGCGCCCTAACCCGGGTCAATGCGCCCCTGGCTCTGCAGGATCCTGCAAAATCCGGCGCTGTGGCTGACCCCCGTTTGCACTTACACCCCGTCGCAAGGCTCCAGACCCCTCCCTCCTTGTCTCCCTCCCCAGGATCCCCAATTGAGTTTAAGGTAGGGAGGGTCCCCCCCGCCCCCTCGCCTCTCCCCTACCCCCTGGCCAGGAACCCGGCCCGCCCAACGTGGAATAATGGAGACCACAGCGACAACCCCCAAACTTAACCTGGTCGTCGTCTTCCATTTCATCCTCTTCCTGCTTTTCCCTCATTCCTAAGGGGTCGGCGGAATGGCGTAGACCTCTTGAATATGGTGGTATGGTGATGACTTCGCCGAATTTGGGAACTGCCATCGGGTTATACCTGGCTCGAGGCACACTGCCGCAGCCCACGGCGACTGCAGCACGACGACAGGCACGCGAGAGCGAACAAAGGCATTGGAAGGTCGAGCCCTCCGATTCGAGCCAGATATTCACTGTATCTCTCGATGGAAAGTTGTCGCCTTCGGCGTTGGTCCGCGGATGACAATTGCAGACATTGGCATCGATGTTGCCCACCGAGTCATTTGATGGGCGATGTGGTTGATCAGGTCGCTGGCGCCTGTGCCGAAGTTTTTGAGGGACGCTAAAAGAAGTGTCGTCGTTGTTGGCTTGTCAATAACCTTTATCATTAAATGGAAGCGCGCATGTCGTCGAAAGTACATGGCCATTCTATGGACAGGCTCGGCATGTTAACAGATTCCGAATGTTTTTCGCGCGGCAGAACATCTCAGGTTCAGTTCAACAGTGGCGTCCCCCATCGTGGAGCGGTCGTACCAATTGCGATCGGATTGTAAAGCCCGACTGCGTGGCGAAGTCAAGAGGGTACGACGGCCCTCATCGTCCTTCGGCTGCCTACTCGCCTATCATGCCCATCCTCCCATCCCCACTCTGGCTCGTCCAGGCCCCCCCTCCAACTCCCTGTCTCTCCTCCCGTCCTCCCCCCCTTCGAGCAGCCGGTGCTACGTGAATGGAGCGTGCCTCCCTTGCTCTTCCCCTCATCCTGCTTCCCCTCTCAAATCCAGCCACTGTACCCCATGCTCATGTCCGATATTCCCTTTCCTGAGGCAAAGCCATGCACACACACACACACACACACACACACACACACACACACACACACACACACACACACACGCACGGTCCTGCCATGGGGTAGCCGATGCCTGTTCCACGCATCGGAGGTGCCAGAGCTGCCGACTGGCTATCATCATGTTTCGGGTTCATCGAGTTGAGGAGCGCCGCCCAGGAAGCTCTTTGCTCGTCCTGATGGCAATTCTGGAGAGGGCCAAGACGTACTCTCATCCTCAAGCTGCGCGCATCTTCACTTACCTCCTCTCTTCTCCCGCATCTCTTGCATAGACGAAGAAAAACTCCATAGACACAACGGTCCGCGCAGAGTTGTTGGATCGCCACCAGAGGCGTCGCCAAGGGCACGCACCGCTGATACGAGAAATCTGCGCGAACCTCCGAGAAGATGTGTTTATGACGTTGTGTAATGCTCTAGACACGTACCCTCATTCCCAAACAGCGTACTCTGCATGTTCTCCCTTTCTCCTCTCTTGCGCGCGCAAGAGCCAGGCCGCGATCGGGCCTCCACTCCTGGTTCCTGGAGCTGCCCAATGTTCAGCCCACCGCTCGGAACAGCCTCTTCCTACAGCAGCCGGCGAAGTCCTCTCGCATGCACGCCGCGTCAGGTTCGTTCCACTTTGTCGGCACGCTTCCGATGTATCAAGAGCATTGTCCCACGCAGGGCCTTGTCGCCCTTTGCGGGAGGGAGCATTAGTGCGTGGGCAGTGATGAGGATGGGGATGCGCCTCTGGGTTGCTGGGAGATCAGGGCGCCCCCCCCCCACCCCCCTCTCCCGCCTCCCCCCCCCGCTGAAACGCATTCGCCCGCTTGGCAACGCGATGCCATGATAGTAGCGAGTGCACTCCAGTAAGATTGAATGAGCCAACATACCAAGTGCTTAGAGAAAATGTTTCACAGGTCGGACGCTGAGCAGAGTCGCCAAACCCACAGGCGCAGGCTCACGGGGAACCCCACATGTGCACCCTGCGTTCTTATGCGCCTCCCTTGCTCCCCACCCGTGGGAGACCCGAGCGCGGTGCTCGCATGCACGAGGTGGCCGTGGGGCTCTGAGGAGAGACACGTTCACTCCGCATACGGTCGCTTCATCCCGAGGTCCCACTCAGCTGGACTCGAAACTCGAACGGGCCAGTGAGATACCCCGCTGTGGCCCGCCGTGGGGGGCTCGAGCGTGATGCCTGCCAGCGCGCGATGATCATGCGGGTCGGACGCCAAACAAGTCCACCTCTCCCAAGCAAGCGTTCTAGCTCAAAGGGCCGACTTGAACGGATGCGCGAGATACCGCCTCCTCTGGAAGGCCCGAAAACGATGCCTACACGCACGCAGAACAGCAGAGACACGCCCACCACCCGGAAAGGCCGCTCCGCCTGAGAAGTCCGGGACCCGAACGAACCTGTTGATGGGCTTGGCCGGGCGGGGCCCGAAGTTCCCCATCCCGCTTGGGAGGCGCGCGCGTGGTCGTGATGCTCCGAAGGGAGAGACGTGCACCTTGGACCTCAGTGGTCCCATGAGCTGCCCACTGGTCGCAGTCCCATGGAGAGTCCGAATGTGCGGTGCTTGCTGGCACGCAACGGTCATGGCCCAAGATGGCCTCCAAGATGCCTCCAAGACTGCCCCAAGAGGGTCCAAAGACGGCACAAGAGGCATCTAAGACGCCCAAGGAAGCCTCCAAGACGGCCGTGGAGCATCCCAAGAGGGCCCCAAGTCGGCCCAGAGAGGCCCCCAAGATGGCTTCCGACGGCGTCAGACGGGCCAGGAGCCCACTTAGACGGCCCAACATGGCTCTAAGATGGCCCAAGATGGCCCAAGAGGCCTCCAAGAGCGCCTCCAGGAAGGCCCGAAGAGGCCGGAATCAGTGATGTCCCTTTGGAGTTTGAAGGATGTTCATGTTTGTTCCTTTTCGGCATTCGACTGCCCAAGACGGCCCAAGAGCCCCCCAAGATCTCACCCAGAGCTCCCAAGAGGCCTCCAAGATCGCCTCAGAAACTGCCCAAGAAGCTCCCATGACGGCCCCAAGAGGGCCCGAAGACGGCCCAAGACGCCTCTAAGACGCCCAAGGAAGCCTCCAAGACGGCCCAGGAGCATCCCAAGAGGGTCCCAAGTCGGCCCAGAGAGGCCCTCAAGACGGCTTCCGACGGCGTCAGACGGGCCAGGAGCCCACCAAAACGGCCCAAAATGGCTCTCAGGTGGGCCAAGACGGCCCAAGAGGCCTCCAAGAGCGCCTCCAGGAAGGCCCGAAGAAGCCAAACTCATTGATTTTCCTTTGGTGTTTGTTTAAAGGACTCAAGCATTTACTTCTTTCGGCCCAACGACGGCCCGAGACGGCCCCAAAGCCCCCACAGATCGCCCCCCAGAGCGCACAAAAGAGTTCCAATATAGCCCTAGAGCGGCCCAAAAGGCCCTCAAGACGGCCCAAAAGGGCCCAAGGACGGAATGCTTCCAAGACGGTCCTGGAGCATTCCAAGAGGGCCCCAACTCGGCCCAGAGAGGCCCCCAAGACGGCTTTCGACGGCGTCAGACTGGCCAGCAGCCCACCAAGACGGCCAAAGAAGCCCCCGAGAAGCCCCAGAAGGCCCCAAGAGGCCTCCAAGAGGGCCCCACAGATGCCTCCAAGAGGCTCCCAGGAAGCTCCCAGGAGGCCCCAAGAGTTTCCCCAGAGGCTCCCACGATACCCCCTCCTCCTCCTCCTCCTCCTCCTCATCCTCCTCCTCCTTCACCTCCTCCTCCTCCTCAACCTCCTCCTCCGCCTCCTTCTGATCTTTCCCGCCATCCTCCCTCCAATGCTCCCCGAAGGGTTTCCACAACGGCTGGGGGGACACACGGTCCGACATATATATATATATATATATATATATACACATATATATATATACATACAAGACTGCAGTGGCGCTTCGCGCCATGCACCTTGGTCCTTGAAGTTTGGTATGCAGGCGGAATAGCAGGAAAATCAAGCCGACAATTTAGAGATAACTCCTTGTTGCCTTTTCCGGCATCGCCGCTATAATAATGTTATACGTTATCCTTCCTCCATGCTTCTTTTTCCTTATTTTCGCCGTACCCTGCGCATTCTCCCCATCCTCCTCAGCTCTTTTTTGCGGAGGCTCCTCCTTGGAGAGCCTCTGAGGGCTTCACAAAAGTTATTTCAGGCTTTCTTAAGGCCTTCTGGAGGCCTCCTGGGCGTATTCTGGATGCCTCTGGGGACTTCCTCTTGCCACCCTGCCTCCAACCGCGGTCTCCCTGAACGACCGGGTCACGATTTGGAATGCTGCGGAGGGTGTCTTGGGGCCGTCTTGGGCCGCCATGGGGCTCTCTGCGGGCCATCTTGGACCCGTGTTGTGCCTGGAAGCCCTTTTTCGGATGGTTGTGGGGCGATGTTGGAGCCTCCCAGGCGGCTTCGGACGCCCAGAAGACCGCCGTCTTGGAGTGTCGGGAAGCCGAAAAGAGGAGAACCCCAAAAATCAGCAAAAACCTACAGACAATCAAAGATGTGTGCCTCTTGGGGCCTTCTTGGGAGTGCTCTTGGAGGAATATTTGGGGCCGTCCTGGAGGCCTTTTGGGCCATCTTGAGGTCACGTCGGTCACTCTTGGAGCGCTCTTGTGCTGTCTTGGGGGTCTCTGGGACGTCTCCGATGACCCCCCTGATCGCCCTAGGTGTGCTGGGAAGGCTTGGCAAAACGCCCTGCGAGGCCCGGGGGGCCGCTTCGAGGCCCGTCTGGAGAGTCCCAAAGCCCCAGATCCCAGGAATCTGGTTTTGGTGGGGGGGGGTGACAGGTTTTCCCCCCGCCCGGGCTTGTAAAGATATAGGAAGAGGAATAGCTTGGCAGTTGCCACAACGCTCGGCCACATGTGCGATTCTAGAAGGCAGGGGGCGGCGGTGATTCGCCGCAGGCGTCTTCGATAGAGGTGGCACGGTGTTAAGTGTTCAGTCTCTGCTTCAGTCTCGAGGTGCTCTCTTCAAGACTTTCTAATATGATCGTCGGCCTGCCTTCGTGCGCTCCTCGGCTCCCTCGCAGCCTTCCTGGGGCCTCTGGATCCCCCCTCAGCGGCCCAAGGGCCTCTTCGATATGCTCCTGAATTGCAGCAGCCCTCTGGACTCTGGATGTAGCTCAAATGACTCCAAGCACCCGTTGTTCCCAGACCCTTCCTACAAGAAGAGGACCTGCCCCAGAAGCGCATTCCTCAAGAACCCGAGACCCTCCGGCGGCAAAAACACGCAAAAGATCCTAGGGTATCCCCCCAGGATGCACTAGACCATCCAACAAACACGAAGAACGTCAGGGCACCCTCCCCGAATTTATCTCGATCCTATACCTCGGTCCGACTGTGCCCTTCGGCAAAGCGTGCGCCCCCCTCCCCCCCGCACCCCCCCACGCCACTAGACGAGCGCGTTCCGCTACTCGCAAAGTAGCTACTCGCAAATGGCATGGATCCCACGCGGGGGATCTACGAGACATTACATCGAAACAGACGTGTGTTTTTCGGACGTTTGCAAGTAGGCATTATGCGAGTAGTGGAACGCGCTCGGTGAGCCACAAGAACCCCCCCCATCGCCTGCGGCCTGCGGGCTGGCCGGCAGTCTGGCGCGGTGGCCGCCCCAGACCGTGCGGTCGTGGGGACAAACAAAAAACGGCAGGAGGCCTTGCGCCGTTCTCTGCTTCCGGGGTGACGGAAAGAGCGAGGTACGAGCGAGTGACGTTGAGTTGGGGCGAAGCCCTTCTTAGGGGGGGTCCAGGAGGGTGCGAGGCCCAGACGTATGGTCTAATAGACCGTTTCCTTTGTATTTTCTCGAGTGAAGCGGCTCCCGGGCGGCTCCCATGGCCCGTTTCTTCCCCAGACGGGCCCAAGACGGCCCAGAGGCCCCAAATATCGTCCCAAGACGGCCCCGGAGGCGCCCCAAACGGGCCCAAAACGGTCCAAGAGGGCCCCCAGACGGGTCCAAGACGGCCCAAGAGGCCCCAAAGATCATCCCAAGACGGCCCCAGAGGCGCCCCAAAGGGGCCCACAACGGCCCAAGATGGCCCCCCAGTACGGCCAAGAAGGCCTCGAGGGCCTTAAGAGAGCCCAAGAGGGCCCCGATAGGCTCCCCAGCGCGCCCGAAGAGGAGGAGGGGGAGGGGGAGGGGGGGGGAGGGGGGGGAGGCGGGAGGCGGAGGAGGAGGAGGAGGAGGAGGAGAAGGAGGAGGAGGAGGAGGAACGAGGAAGAGGAGGAGGAGGAAGAGGAGGAGGCGGAGGAACGAGGAAGAGGAGGAGGAGGAGGAGGAGGAGGAGGAGGAGGAGGAGGAGGAGGAGGAGGGGGAGGAGGAGGAGGAGGAGGAGGAGGAGGAGGAGGAGGAGGAGAAGGAGGAGGAGGAGAAGGAGGAGGAGGGAGAGGAGGAGGAGGAGGAGGAGGAGGAGGAGAGGAGGAGGAGGAGGAGCAGGAGGAGGAGGAGGAGGGGGAGGAGGGGGAGGAGGAGGAGGAAGGTAGAAGGAGGAGGGGGAGGAGGAGGAGGAGGAGGAGGAGGAGGAGGAGGAGGAGGAGGAGGAGGAGGAGGAGGAGGTGGAGGAGGAGGAGGAGGAGGAACGAGGACGAGGCCCAGGGAGGAGGAGGGAGGTAGAAGGAGGAGGGGGAGGAACAGTAGGAGGAGGAGGAGGAGGAGGAGGAGGAGGAGGAGGAGGCGGAGGAGCAGGAGGAGGAGGAGGAAGAGGAGGAGGAAGAGGAGGAAGAGGAGGAAGAGGAGGAAGAGGAGGAAGAGGAGGCGGAGGCGGAGG